ATCACCTGACCAGGACCAGACTAGGACTTGAGCAGGGACAAGACCAGGACCAGACCAGGACCAGGACCATACCAGGGACCAGACCAGGACCAAAATCAGACCAAATCCTGACCAGGACCTGACCAGGATCAGACCAGGACCAGACCAGGACCTGACCAGGACCTGACCAGGACCTGACCAGGACCAGACCAGGACCAGACTAGGACCAGACTAGGACCAGACCAGGGACCAGACCATGACCAAACTAGGACCAGACCAGGACCAGACCAGGACCAGACCAGGGACCAGACCAGGACCAGACTAGGACCAGACAAGGACCAGACCAGGGACCGGACCAGGGACCAGACCAGGACCAGACTAGGACCAGACAAGGACCAGACCAGGACCGGACCAGGGACCAGACCAGGACCAGACCAGACCAGACCAGGACCAGACCAGGACCTGACCAGGACCTGACCAGGACCAGACTAGATCAGGACCTGACCAGGACCAGACCAGGACCAGACAAGGACCAGACCAGGGACCAGACCAGGGACCAGACAAGGACCAGACCAGGACCAGACCAGGACCAGGATCAGACCAAAACCTGACCAGGACCTGACCAGAACCAGACCAGAACCTGACCAGGACCAGACCAGGACCAGGACCCAGACCAGGACCAGGACCAGACCAGGACCAGATCATGATGAGACCAGGACCAGACCAGGGACTCTGCACTGAGGTAAGTGCAGCCAACGCCCGATCGTAATGATGTAATCATTACTCACCTGTAGAATTCCAAAAAGTTAAAACCCGCCCGTTTCAGCAACTATTTGGTGCAGAACTCTGGTCTCTATCGATAGAATAATGTTTGAAATAAAAATTAACCTTGCGTCACATGAATCGTCACATGTTGAGGGACTATTTTCTCACATATCAGTCCGCCGCTGCCGAGCTTTCTATCAGTAAGTACAACTCACTGCTGCTGCTCAGACATAAATCCTTCAAATGCAACGTTGATTTTGCTTCTAAAATTATTCTATCAACACAGACATTCACATGGACAGTCTGGAGTAATAATAGATTTCTTTCAGGTGTTTTGTGGAGTGGGTAAGACTGTTTTTAGTGGCAGGATAAACTATGGCCATTGACATGCACTAGTCTAGCACCAGCGACCTCTGCAAATACAAGGACTGGATGGAATATTTAAAAAAGTGTCTCCACACGTCTCCAACACTCTGGCTCACAAGGAAATGTTGAGGTCCTATGTCCAAAATTCCAGACTGTCCCTTTAACACAAATACAAGTTTAAATATATTTACAAATAATAAGAAACAATTTAAGTTCAAGACGCTCACTGACTCACAGCTGGACATGAGCTGATGTATAAAGTCATAGAAGATTCTCTATCGTCACCACACGTTGGAAATTATTACGCAACCAAAGTATTTACTGATGGTTTATTCAAAGTTTATTCAGTTTTTTGCCGTTTGTAATGGAATAAAAATGAAAAAATTAAGAAAAATTCATGCACACATACACTGAAAAAATTGTTCAAGAGGGGTTGTTCAAATTGCAACAAATTTGACAACAATAACATGACTTTTTAACGTTTCTCTGTCCAGCATGTTTAAATCTTACAAAGGTCACTTGATTGTGGCCGATGTTAGACCTGCATGTTTTAATCAAGTTGAGGAAACATGACTTTATTCTAATCTCTGGTGAAGCTCCTCCCTCTGGAATTCTCCTCCTCAAAACTTTTGGAGGGAAAATTCAAGTGTAACAGGACACAGGACAGATCCAGGAGCAGAGGAAACACAGTGTGGAGCAGGAGGATTATGAGAGCTGATCTGGAGGTGAGACTTTTTAAAGATTTTATATGTTTCTCTGGACTAGAATGTCGTCATTATTAAAACATGTTTGTGGTGTTTTATTTGAAATTAGAGTTAATGTCAGGACTGTTTTCATGAAACAAATTGTATTTGACTGTTAATCTACAAGTGTGACAGTTGTACTAAGATTTAAATGTGTTGCATTCAGAGTCGTCTACAAACACAGAGTGACGTCCAGGTTCTGCTGGAGCTGTGGGGAAGTTCATGAATGTTACAGCTGATGTTTCAGGAAAAAGGAAGATGTTTGAGAACCAACAAAACACAGAGCACAGATGAACAAAGTAAGTAAACCAACTAAAACGATTTTAAACAAATTTTTCAAAATGAACGTCTATTGAAACATCATATTTCTACAGGGTGATGTGGCACTAGGAGACTTTATACCAGATGCCCTCCCTGTTACTGCGTTAAGAGGAAGAAAAGCAGCACACGGTGAGTTTTGTTTCTGCAGATACACTTCTAATGTTCTTGTGATTCTGTTCTGGTCCATTATTATAGTAATAAGTACTTTAAATGTATTTAAACATGTAGAACAGAGTAGATCATCAGAATGTGATCATCATGTGTTATTCTGTGTCCACAGAGACCAGAGCTTCTTCACTGGAATAAATCTTCACACTGTCCAGCTCCAAACTGTGTGTCTCTGTACTTGTGCCTCTCTGTGTGTTTGATTCTGTTTAAGACAAGACAGAACTGTGGAAAACTAAAGACTGTTTTTGTATTATTGTACAGAATTAGATCAATTAAATTAAATTATACATACTTATACATTTCACGATAAGGTAACATAAGATAAATATACATATTCAGCATGATTTGATCAAATTTCATCAGCATGAAAAAGTGATGTTCATGTTCTGAGAAAAATATGTGTAGAGAGGATCAAAATAAGTTTCAAAGTCTAAACATAATTTTATTGCATGCAACCGCTTTCCATAACTTTTTTATCCAAATCCAGCAACCTTTTTTTTTCAGTGTACTGTAGCTGTTTGTGATTTACCCAAAGATCCCAATGTTAAGTCTAATTTAGAAACAACCCAAATATTTACTCGTTTTGAAATCATAAACCGACGTCTCACTCTGAAGAAAACTTTGATACACACTCAGAGATCCTCTATTGTCCTGCAGGTGTAACGTTAATGACCAAATATTCACTCTGACGCAGAAACAACCCTTAAACATTTACTCGTTTTTAAATCCCACCGAGCGACGTCTCACTCATTCATCACATTACTTTACACGTTATTTATTATTACATGGTCAAAGATCCGCTATTGTCCCGGCTAGTTGAAAGTTAATGAGCGAATAAACTCTCACTCTGATGAAGAAACAACGACAGGCGAGTAATTCCCTTGTTATTTATTGGATGGTGTTCAGAGATCCTCTATTGTGGCCTGTCCCTTCTCTTGTGCGGCGGAGAGAGGCGTCACTCCCTCCACAAAAGGATAATTGATGGAGAAGTCCACGCTTGTCTCTCGGGGACACAAAGCCGGACCGGGACTGTCGGGTTATTAATGTGGACCTTTTCGCAGGCTTTAGTCCGGACTTAGACCCGGTTTAGTTCTGCATCTGCTCCCCACCCCCCCCGGTCCTCCTATAGACCACCTCCCCCAGGACCAGAGCCCAGACCCGAACCAGACCGAGGAGAATCCAGCTGAAGACCGGCTTTGGGACTGTGGCGTGCAACAGTCGTTAGTCTCACATTAAAGTCCAATAATAGGGACGTATTCAGGGACGTGAGGCCGGAGGACGGAGGAGGGAGACAGAGGGAGGGATGAGGCATACAGGACACCCAGGGGACATGGGGAGGACACAGGAGGGATACTTTGTACTTTTCAAATCATCTTTAAAGTTTACACACAAGAGTTTGAGAAGTTTTGCAGTGGGACATTTTGCAGAACTTTTCACTTGTTTCTGAAACTGAACAGATTTAAACCCCTCATCCTCCTGAAGACGTCACAGAGACTGAGGTAAACCTGCAGGAGACAGGGCCGCTCCTGCCTCAGGCTCAGACTCATGGATCAGCTCTTCTGTCCCACACAGAGTTCCACAGGTTAAATGTAACAGATGAACCTGCACACGAGGCTCTGCTCTGTCCAGACGAGCCTGAGGACAGGAGAAGAACTCAGAGTTGTTCTGCAGGTTTTGCTCCAGAAGCGTCTTTGGACACTGGACCTGTGCATGTGACAAAACAGTGTCCAACACAGTGTCCAACACAGTGTCCAAATCTGTGTCCAAATCTGTGTCCAAATCTGTGTCCTCTGAAGGCTCTTCTGCCTCTGACCTGCGTGCAGGAGTCCTTGACAGGAGCCTCTGACAGGAGCTTCTGACAGGAGCTTCTGACAGGAGCTTCTGACAGGAGCCTCTGAACTGCCCAAAGCTCCAGCCCCGAGTCCCGCTGGTCCCATTAGAGTCCGGCTCGGCTCGTCCCGGTTGGAGCGGAGCGTGTCCGGTGAGAGAGGGATAAAGGAAGTGAAAGAGGGATAAAGGAATAAAAAGATGAATGAAGCGCACGAGAGCTGAGGCTGAGGCGCGTGCGTGCGCTCGCGGCGGGGGCCCATTGTGTTTCAGTGTGTTTGGGAGCAGGCCTCGCGCCGCGCTCTGATTGGCCAGCGGCCTGCAGCGGCACGCTTCTGACGCCCGCCCCGCGTGCACCCCCTCCGCGGCACGAGAGCTCATTCATCTGAGGTTTATCTCCGAGTCTAGGGGGGGTCCGTGGGGGTCCGGGGGGGTCTGAGGCTCTAAGGCTCTGCACGGAGCTGCAGGGGGTCTCCGGGGGGCTGCGGGCCGGGGGCGGGTCCGGCTCCGGGCGCATATAAGCGGGCTGAGGCCGGACGTGTGCCAGAACCACCGGCACGAGCAGCCCACGAGCTCAGCACTGATCCAAGCGCGTGCCTTTGGAACCAGAGCCCACTTTAGAGTCCAGCACGAGACGTGTTCACGAGACTCACAAGACCTGCACACGAGCGCAAAGTCCCGCCAACTTTGCCACTTGCGAGAGCCCGGAACCTCTGCCCCTGCGCCCAGAGCCAGAGCCAGAGTCAGAGCCAGAGTCAGAGCCAGAGCCAGAGCCAGAGTCAGAGCCAGAGTCAGAGCCCCTGTCCGGCCTGTCCCGCTCTCCTCCCGCTGATGGAGCCCGTGTTTGACCTGGACAGCAACAGCTGCGACATGTTCGCGCACTCTGACGCCGAGGAGGTGCGCGCGGAGCCCGAGCAGAAGAAGCGGCGGCGGGGGCGTGCACGCTGTGACACGCAGGTGCACGTGGTGAAGAAAACCCGCAGACTGAAGGCCAACGACCGCGAGCGCAACCGCATGCACAACCTGAACGACGCGCTGGACGCGCTGCGCCGCGTGCTGCCCGCGTTTCCGGATGAGACCAAACTCACCAAGATCGAGACGCTGCGCTTCGCGCACAACTACATCTGGGCCTTGTCCGAGACCATCCGCATCGCAGACCTGCACCAGGGCGGCCCCCAGCAGCCCCCCAGCCCGGCCTGGAGCTCCGGCTCCTCCGTCTCCTCCGCCTCCAGCTCCCCGTCCTACTGCTCCAGCCCCGGCAGCAGCCCCGCGCACGACGAATACAGCCTGGCGAGCTTCAGCTTCGCCTCGGGTCTGTTCTGAAGGCCCGGACACAAGGCCCTGAACGCGGCCTCACGTGAACTGACAGTCCGCTGCTGTGGACCTCACAGCGGGGCTCCTCTGAACTCATGTCCGCTCCTCAGCCTCCTGCAGCGGGTTCACTCAGACTGACAGCCCGCTGTTCCGGAGCAGTGACAGCGGCTCTGCTCACACAGACCCCGGGACAAGCGCGTGCTCCCGGCCTCAGAGACCGTCCGCCCCGCGCTGGTGGATCACACTTTGCCTTATTCTCAGACTGCCCTGATTGTAGCTCAGTCCGCCGTGTTTCTGTTGTTTCATGTTATTTTATTGACCCATGAGCCGTGCACTTTGGCCAGGTCACAGACTTTAGATCGGCCCGTCTGTCTTTATTTATTCTTATTGTTATGTTGTTTAAGTTGATGCTGGCGCGTGCTGGATATGTGTGATGTACATACAGAGTTTATTCTATTTACTGACACTTTTCTACAAATAAATATAACGTTTCTATGACTCATGTCTCCTCGTGCTCTTTCTCCCGCTGTGATTTAGTCATTATCCTATTATAAAAAATAAAACAGACCCAGGCCTAAAGAAGCAGCAAGCAGAGAATAAAACAGAATAAATGGGCCTGTGGGCCTCAGAATAACAAACAGGCAGAGCCGCAGATGAGCCGCTCGTCTCGTGCGGATTATCCGTGCGTCAGGCGGCGCGCGCACAGCGCGGGCCCTTTGGGGGCCTGTGGGGGCCTTTGGGGGCCTCTTTGTGCACAGCGGTTCACGAGAGTTTAATTTGAATGTGATTTGTGTGCGCGTGCATGCGCGCGGTGCATTGTGGAGGCGGCGGGACGCGCACAGATGCGGGACAAAGCGCTCACGGAGCATTAATAACTCTTTAAGCAGCAGGTGAAACCCAGATCGTCTATTGTGCAGCGCAGTGGAAAGTTAATGGGTGACCGGAGTCTCACTCTGACAGAATCAGACCTTTTTTCTGACATTGTGTTAAAATAGGCCTCACTATTCAATGTGGGTTTAAGTTTTACTTTAAACTGGATCAGAGTCTCTGCACACGGCTGTGGGTTTATGCACAGAGGCATGACTCTCACTCAGACAAGGAGACACAACACACAAAGATCTTCTTTGGACAAGAATACAAATATAAAAAGTCAGATTAAGTTTATATCCAACTTTATTAAAGAGAGAGGTCTCACTCATGTACGAAACACTGTATCTGTGGTTATAACAGGAGAAAGCACAGATAAAGATCTTTTGTTGTTTTAACACCAACTCTTTTTTCAAGGATCATCTATTGTCAAATCCATTGTAGTTTTATGCAGTCCTGAAGTCTCACTTTGATTCACTTTCACTTTAGTCCTGCGTTTGCGCAGATCATCTATTGTCTTTGTGTTGTAGTTGATGGAGGAAGTCTCACTCGGACAAATGTGAGTCCTCTAAAGTGCTCTTGTATATTATTATTGTTGGTTCTGACCCGAGTCTCACTCTGAAGCCAAAACAAAAAAACTCCCATAAAACTTCACCTCCATTCAAAGATCCTCTATTGTCCCCGGTCCCCAGTGTCTTCCCTTTGTGGAGGTGATGGCCACTTGGACAAAGACACGAGGAGCCGTAAAAGAGTCAGTGTGGAGCGTCTTTCACAAACATCGTCCACAACATCACGTCCCCTCCTCAGTGTGAAGAGCAGCGCAGTAAAAGCACCAACACACACGAGTCATACAGCATATCCACACATCAACCACTGCGCCTGAGAAGATTAAGAGCACAGCAGCAGCAGTAATAGTGGCAGTAGTATTAGTATTATTATTATTATTAGTAGTAGTAGTAGTAGTAGTAGTAGTAGTAGTAGAAGTAGTAGTTGTAGTAGTAGTAGAAGTAGTAGTTGTAGTAGTAGTAGTAAATAGAAAATTCATAAGTTTTGGTGCACTGTGCTTTGTTTAGTTCATTGTCTCGTATAACAGGAGTAACTGAGTAACTGTAGTAGTGGTAGTACTAGCACTAGTAGAGGTAGTAGTTTTAGTAGTAGTAGTGATAGTATTAATATTAGCAGTAGTAGTAGTACTAAAACAAAAATCATAACTTTTGGTGTACTGTGTTTTGTTCAGTTCATTATCTTGTATAACAGGACTAACTGCACTAGTAGTAATAATATTAGTAGTAGTAGTAGATGTAGTAGTAGTAGTGGTTGTAGAAGTAGTAGTAGTAGTAATAGTAGTAGTACTAAAAAAATGTCATAACATTTGGTGCACTGTGTTTTGTTTAGTTCATTATCTCGTACAGGAGTGACTATAGTGATAGTGGTAGTACTAGTAGTTTGATTCATTGTGTTTTGTTCAGTTTATTGTCTCGTATAACAGGAGTAACTGTAGTAGTAGTGGGAGTACTAGTACTAGTAGCAGTAGTAGTGGTGATGGTAGTAGTAATAGTAGTAGTAGTAGTAGTAGTAGTAGTAGTAAATAAAAAAGTGTAGTAGCACTTTTTTATTTACTACACAGAAGTAGCAGTGGTAGTACTAGCAGTTATAGTAGTAGCAGTAGTAGTAGTAGTAGTAGTAGCTACACAGTAGTAGTAGTAGTAGAAAAAGCAGTAGTAGTAGTAAAAAGAAAATTCATAAGTTTTGGTGCACTGTTTTTTAGTTCAGTTCATTACAGGAGTAACTGTAGTACTAGTAGTAGTAGTAGCAGTAGCAGTAGCAGTAGTAGTAGTAGTAGTAGCAGTAGCAGTAGTAGTAGTAGTAGTAGCAGTAGCAGTAGTAATATTAGTAATAGTAGTAATAGTAGTACTTAAACCCACTTTGGTGATAGTTTGATTAAGTGAAAGTTCTGCAAGTCCTGATCTAGAACTGGACTATTTTCAAGATCAGGACCAGACCAGGACCAGACTAAGACCAAACAGGGACCAGACCAGGACCAGACTAAGACCAAACCGGGACCAGACCAGGACAAGGCGTAGAACCAGATCAGACCAGATCCAGGTCCAGGTCCCGGAGCAGGTCTGGGTCTTATCCCCCGAGTGTTTGAAGAGAGATTATCCCGGAGTGAAGTGGCCCAGATTATCTCTTTAAGATTCTGATCCTCTGAACCCCGCAGGACACGCACGTGCACACTCGTACGGACACGTGCACGCTCACAGAGGCACGTGCACGCTCACAGGGACACGTGCACGCTCACAGGGACACGTGCACGCTCACAGGGACACGTGCACGCTTCCACATGCACGTTTATGAGCCGTCAAAATGATCCTGCTGTGTTTTGTCTGCGTCTAATTATGAAGTGATTTATTTTGTATACGTAGCAGAGGTGCGCGTTAGCATGCCAGTTGTTGTTAGTTTTACCATCAGAGTTGTGAAAAATGCTCATAAACTCATTGTGGTGAAGAATTAGAATGTTCAGAATGCCAGTCAAAGGTGCAGTGTCTAATAGTAGTAAAAGTAGGAATTGTAGTAGTAGTAGTAGTAGTAGTAGTAGTAGTAGTAGTAGTAGTAGTAGTAGTAGTAGTACTGTCCAAAGGGGCACAGTAGTTGATGATTACTTGGGGTGGGCAGAGTCCCCCTCCTTTTCTTCCTCTTCGTCTCTGTGTGACGAGGCAACAGATGTTCAGACTGAAACTCAAACTATAATCAATATAATCAATCAAGAACCAGACCACAGACCAAGAACCAGACCACAGACCAAGAACCAGACCACAGACCAAGAACCAGACCACAGACCAAGAACCAGACCACAGACCAAGAACCAGACCACAGACCAGACCAACAACCAGACCAGAAACTGGACCAAGAACCAGACCACAGACCAAGAACCAGACACAGACCGGACTAGAACCAGACCAGAGACCAAGAAGCAGACCACAGACCGGACCAACAACCAGACCAGAGACTGGACCAAGAACCAGACCAGAGACTGGACCAACACCAGACACAGACCAAGAACCAGACCACAGACCAAGAACCAGACCACAGACCGAGAACCAGACCACAGACCAAGAACCAGACCACAGACCAGACCAACAACCAGACCAGAAACTGGACCAAGAACCAGACCACAGACCAAGAACCAGACCACAGACCAAGAACCAGACCACAGACCAAGAACCAGACCACAGACCAAGAACCAGACCACAGACCAGACCAACAACCAGACCAGAAACTGGACCAAGAACCAGACCACAGACCAAGAACAAGACCACAGACCGGACCTAGAACCAGACCAGAGACCAAGAAGCAGACCAGAGACCGGACCAACAACCAGACCACAGACTGGACCAAGAACCAGACCAGAGACTGGACCAACAACCAGACCACAGACCAAGAACCAGACCACAGTCCGGACCAAGAACAAGACCACAGACCGGACCTAGAACCAGACCACAGACCAAGAACCAGACCACAGACCAGACCAACAACCAGACCAGAAACTGGACCAAGAACCAGACCAGACCAAGACAGACCAAGACCAGACCAAGAACCAGACCACAGACTGGAGCAAGAACCAGACCAGAGACTGGACCAAGACCAGAGATTGGACCAAGAACGGAGACTGGACCAGACAAAGACCAGAGACTGGACCAGAGACTGGACCAGAGACTGGACCGAGAATGGAGACTGGACCAGACCAAGACCAGAGATTGGACCAAGCCCAAAAACTGGACCAAGACCGGAGACTGGATTAGACCAAGACCAGAGACTGGACCAAGATCAGAGATTGGACCAAGACCAGAGACTGGACTGAGACTGGAAGCTGGACCAAATCCGGAGACCCGATCAGACCAAGACGGGAGACTGGACAAAGACCAGAAACTGGACCAAGATCAGAGATTGGACCAAGACCAGAGACTGGACCAGACCAAGACCAGTGAGTGGAACAGAGACTGAACTAGACACCAAAGGACGTTCTGAAGTTGTGGTTTTAACTTTTTATTTGACTCATGCAGGTGACGTGTCTCCTCCAGAAAGTTCCACACTGTGGCTTTAAAAGAAAAACAAAAAAACAATGAACCAGTGAAAGGAGAAAACACTTCCTGGTCTGACCTGATGCCTCTGGTCACATGACCTCTGAGAAACGACCTCTGACCCCTGGATCATAGAGTCACACTTCAGAGATTTAGTCCACACTTACCCCAAACCAGGACTAAACCAGGACTAAACCAGGACTAAACCAGGACTAGACCAGGACTGGACTGTGTTGTTTACTTCCTTGTTGCACTGCATTAGAAATTGGGACCAATTTCAGAATCTGCAGAAAACCTTCAAGGACAGGAAAGAGGAAAGGAAGGAAGGATGGAAGGAAGGACCAAAGAGGAGAAGAAGAGAGGAGGAGAGGAGGAGGTGGTGAGAGTTTTAGATCAGGCCCTGAGGAGGAGTTCAGATTTGGACTAATCCTCTGTTTGACCAACAAATCATTAAGAGCGACCAATCAGAGCGCAGGAGAGCAGTCATGTGACCTGGAATCAACGCCGCTCACTCTGACAGGTGAGACAGGTGAGACAGGTGAGACAGGTGAGACAGGTGAGGGGCAGAGTTACTCCTCACTTCACCTCATGGATTCAGACCGTCCTAAAGCGAACAACAACTAGCATGCTAACCACACACTTGACAAACACTAACTCATTTTAATTTAAATGATAATGACTTTTTTTTTCAAAATTAATGTCTCATCGTGACGACCTGGGTCCAAGAAAATCACTTTTAGCAAAGGTAAAGGACTAAACTAAACCAGGACTAAAGCAGAACTAAACCAGATCTGAAACACAACAAAACTAGGACAAAATCAAGACTAAAGCAGAATTAAACCAAGACTAGAGCAGGACAAAATCAGGACTAAACCGGGACTAAACCAGATCTAAACCAAGACTAAAGCAGGACAAAATCAGGACTAAAGCAGGACTAAACCAGATCTAAACCAAGACTAAAGCAGGACAAAATCAGGACTAAAGCAGGACTAAGCCAGATCTAAACCAAGACTAAAGCAGGACAAAATCAGGACTAAAGCAGACTAAACCAAGACTAAAGCAGGACAAAAATCAGGACTAAAAGCAGGACTAAACCAGATAAACCAGGACTAAACCAAGACTAAAGCAGGACAAAATCAGGACTAAAGCAGGACTAAACCAGATCTAAACCAAGACTAAAGCAGGACAAAATCAGGACTAAAGCAGGACTAAGCCAGATCTAAACCAAGACTAAAGCAGGACTAAACCAGAACTAAACCAAGACTAAAGCAGGACAACAACAGGTTTAAACCAGGTTTAAACCAGGACTAAACCAAAAGTAAACCAGGACTAAAGTAGGACTGAACCTGTTCTAAGGGAGGACTAAATCAGGACTAAATCAGGTCTAAAATAAGACTAAACCAGGACTAAACCAGGTTTAAACCAGAAGTAAACTAGAACTATATTAGGTATAAAATCAGGACTAAACCAGAACTAAACCAGGTCTAAAGTAGGACTGAACCTGTTCTTAGGGAGGACTAAAGCAGGACTAAAATAACACTAAACCAAGACTAAACCTGTTCTAAAGCAGGATTAAACTAAGACTACATTGGAACTAAACCAGGTCTAAACCAGGTCTAAACCAGGACTAAACCAGGACTAAACCAGGACAAAACCAGGTCTATATCAGGACTAAACCCGGACTTCAGATGCAGATTTGTTTGTCCTGGTTTATAAAATCACTGGACCTGTTCACATGAAACAAAAACATCTCCTCTTTTTGTATAAATAAAAATGTTACAGGTGACAGGTGCAGCGGGTGACAGGTGCATCGGGTGACAGGTGCGGCGGGTGACAGGTGTGCAGGTGAATGAGGGGCGTGGCCTGTGGGAGGAAAAAGCCCTAAAATGGACACGTACACCTTTAATCCTTTTTATGAATGGATAATTGGAGCTGTGTCACACGCCCGGAGCTCGGCCAATCAGAGAGCAGCGCCGCGGTCACGTGACCAAACGGCCCCCATTCACACAGAGACAGGAGTGGGCGGGGCCAGAGCAGGATTACACCTGAGATTACCGGATTGTGACGGAGAGGGGCCCTTAGTCGGGTGTGGGCCCCTCGTTACGGTCCAGAGCTTTTCCTCGGTTACCTCACAGATTCAGACCGTCCTGAAGTGAACAACTAGCATGCTAACCACACACCTGATGAACTTCCACACACTAACTCGTTTTAAGTTAAATGATGATGATATTTTTTCTAATTTAAATTGGCTCAATGTTTTACCCGTAGTGATGATCTCGGTCCAAGAAAATCATTTTATGCAAAGGTGAAGGACTAAAGTAAACCAAGACTAAACCAGGACTAAACCAGGACTAAACCAGGACTAAACCAGGACTAAACCAGGACTAAACAGGACTAAACCAAGACTAAACCAGGACTAAACCAGGACTAAACCAGACTAAACCAGGACTAAACCAAGACTAAACCAGGACTAAACCAGGACTAAACCAGGACTAAACCAGGACTAAACCAGGACTAAACCAGGACTAAACCAAGACTAAACCAGGACTAAACCAAGACTAAACCAGGACTAAACCAAGACTAAAAGACTAAACCAGGACTAAACCAGGACTAAACCAGGACTAAACCAAGACTAAACCAAGACTAAACCAAGACTAAACCAGACTAAACCAGGACTAAACCAAGACTAAACCAAGACTAAACAAGACTAAAGCAGGACTAAACCAAGACTAAACCAGGACTAAACCAAGACTAAACCAAGACTAAACCAGACTAAACCAGGACTAAACCAGGACTAAACCAGACTAAACCAAGACTAAACCAGGACTAAACCAGGACTAAACCAGGACTAAACAGACTAAAAGACTAAACCAAGACTAAACCAAGACTAAAAGACAGGATTAAGAAGGACTAAACCAGGACTAAAGGTCTAAACTAAACCAGGTCTAAAGCAGGACTAAACCAGAAATAAACCAGGACTAAACAAGGTGTAAACAGGACTAAAAAACAGTCTAAAGCGGGACTAAACCAGGTCTAAACCAAAACTAAACCAGTCTAAACCAGGTCTAAAGCGGGGACTAAACCAGAACTAAAGCAGAGCTGAATCAGGACTAAACCAGAACTAAAACCAGGTCTAAACCAGGTACAAACCAGGACTAAACCAGGACTAAACTGAACCAGTCTAAAGCAGGACTAAACCAGGACTAAACCAGGACTAAACCAGAACTAAACCAGGACTAAACCAGAACTAAACTAGGTACAAACCAAGACTAAACCAGGACTGAACCAGGACTAAACAAGGTCTAAACCAGAAACTAAACCAGGACTAAACCAGAAACTAAACTAGGTACAAAACCAAGGACTAAACCAGGACTGAACCAGGACTAAACAAGGTCTAAACCAGGACTAAACCAGGACTAAACCAGGACTAAACCAGGTCTAAAGCAGGGCTAAACCAGGACTAAACCAGAGCTGAACCAGGACTAAACCAGAACTAAACCAGAACTAAACCAGGACTAAACCAGGACTAAACCAGGTCTAAAGCAGGTCTAAATCAGGACTAATCTTGGACTTTTGAGAGAGCGAGAAAGATGACGCGATGTGCAATAGTTTCATTTGAGCTCTAAAGGAGGAGTGACTTAGCACCAGGAGCAAATAGAGAATCGAGCGTCAAATACAAAACGTAAACTTATCAAACACTTTAATACGTTGTTTTTGGCGACTATAACATTTTCAAAACAATAAAAGGAAACACGGCGAACATCTATCCATCCATCCTTCCTCTTTAAATTCTACCGTCACAAAGTAAGAAAAGCAGAACAAAATGTACAACAAATGCCCCGGGTTCCCTCCTCCTCCTCCTCCTCCTCAGAGACCTCGGAGTGGAGTGTCCTCACTTAGTCCTCGTTTGTCTCCTCTCTCCTGTCTCCTTAGGCTCTTTTGTCTGCGCTGACCTTTGACCCGAGCTGGAGGATGTCTCGGGGGCACACTCTGACACGGCGAGCCCCGAGTCACGCCTCTCGCTCGCTGTCCGAGAAGAGAAGAGACTGCAGAACTTTTCACGTCGCATCTTTACTGACTTTTGTTCTAAAAAGTGCAGGACGGAGACTTTAAAGGTCCAATATTACACAAAAATACATAAAACGGGCCTTCTTGTGATGTCATGAAGTGGTAGTTTACTTTTCGTTCAGTAGAGATTGGAAATTCCAGGGCTGAAATCATTTAGACGATTTTCTACTGAAGGTGTGTGGAGTTTAAAAACACGGTGGAGCACTTGCTGTATTACGATATGACATCACAAGGTGGAGCAGTTTGAGAGCAACACAGCCTAAATATGCAGGGTTTGTGGTCCTGGTCTGGTCTGGTCCAGGTCTGGTCCAGGTCTCGTCAGGGTCTGGTCAAGATCTTGTCATGGTCTAGTCCAGGTCTGGTCATGGTCTGGTCATGGTCTGGGCCAGATCTGGTCCAAATCTGGTCAGAGTCTGGTCCAGGTCTGGTCAGGGTCTGGTCCAATTCTGGCCCAGATCTCATCAGGGTCTGGTCAAGATCTGGTCAGAGTTTGGTCCACGTCTGCTCAGGGTCTGGTCAAGATCTGGTCGTGATCTGGTCCAGGTCTGGTCAGGGTCTGGTGAAGATCTAGTCAGGGTCTGGTCCAGGTCTGGTCCAAGTCTGGTCAGATTCTGGTCCATGTCTGGTCCAGGTCTAGTCATGGTCTGATCAGGGTCTGGTCAAGATCTTGTCATGGTCTAGTCCAGATCTGGTCATGGTCTAGTCCAGTTCTGGTCATGGTCTGGTCATGGTCTGGGCCAGATCTGGTCCAAATCTGGTCAGAGTCTGGTCCAGGTCTGGTCAGGGTTTGGTCCAGGTCTGGTCAGGGTCTGGTCCAATTCTGGCCCAGATCTCATCAGGGTCTGGTCAAGATCT